AATATTGATATTTTCACAGTATTAATTACGCACAAAACAGAAAAAAGCTTTGTGCTCGCGCGATCTTACCTGTCTTCATGAATTGCTCCGTGATTCTGGAACCGTAAATGTGCCAGGCGACGAAGATCAACGCCACGCTGCTTAAGAACGTCAACAGGAAGACTTTGAGCAGCTGCAGCTGAAAATCGTCGAATGACAGCAACGCTATCAGTTCGTGGAGGAACTCGCGGAGCCTCGACGACGTCTCGTCATCGAGGATGACGATGTCGCTGAAATTGAAGGTTAGACCGAATGTCGTCGACAGCAGTGATAACAGGTTGAGCACGCATTTATTGATCGCCTCCGACAAATAGTTCGTCCAAGGACACGAATCCTCACATGCGCTGCTCATCACATGAGGGAAAGATTCTTGGCATCAGAATTATCACTTGCACTCGAGCCAGTCTCAAAAGCTTATCGAGATCGTACTATTGCAAGCTGATTGCAGGCCAGCTGGGCAGCACAAGGTAGTCCACGATTCATAAAATATTAAAATCTACATGGGAAGCCACAACTGCCACAAGTTTCCAGTCCAATATGCAGCGCGCAAATTGAACGTTGCAGCGCTTTTCTCGATGATTTTCGGAATGCACAAAACTCGCGAGATCGATCAAAGAAATGACTTCGATCCAATTAACTTAATCAGTGATAACTGAAGTTTTTGGATTAGATTTTTTTAAACAAAAACTAAAAATAAAACTTTGAAAACGTAAATACAAGCTAGAAATTAAATGACTATCCAGCTAATATATAGCAGTTTTTTAATTAATGCTGTTTGAAATTTTGCAATATTTAACATTCAGTCTTCCCTATATAATATAAATTATAAAATTATGTGTACGTTATTTTGATATATGTATATAAAAAATAAACTGTGCAGTTATCAATACTTTATATTGTAATTTATATAGCAGCCATATAACTTATATTGGGAATGAAAGGATTAAGTATTATGTTGAGTAATTAAATTAATCAAAGTTTATTTGTAGCGGTTTCTATAAATTGTGTTATCTTTTCGGCGTTCGTAAATTAATTCTTCGAAATAAATAACGCTGCAAATTGTGTCTTTTAATATGTCACGACTGTACCACCGACGAGATACTCTTAAGAGGATCCTAAACCCTAGATCAAACTCCAAAAAATCCGCTGTTTTACCGACAATTTGTGAGTATGTATGCGTGCGATATTGATGTAGTAGTGTGTAGTGATGTGTCATGTTTATTACCACATCAATATATCTCACGCATACATATACACAAATTTGTCGGTTACCAATATATCTTTATTTAGGCTTCTATACTTAATTCTAACGACTCACATATACTCATTTCTTTATTGTACATCTGGCTCTGCCTTCATTTCGAGCATATAACCTGCCTAACTTTTCCACGAAGTTAACGTTTTGGTTAATTGATAGCATTAGTCGCCATGTTGAGGTTAAAATGGATAACAAAATCTGTAATTATTTCATTTTTTTCCGTTTTTGGTACAAAATGCACTAGAGCCAGATACATAAGTGTGTTTTAACCGTGGAAAAGGAAATTTTATTCTATGCGATTAATACGAAGTAATTAGTAACCAACAAATATGGTATTTTTGTCGATAAAACAGATGGCTTTAGCATCCTCTTAAACACTTCCGTGGTCCAATTTGGCGTATAACCCTTGTCAAAAATTGTCTTGAATTTACTCACGCGTACCGAGTCACCCACTTTGAATAGCGCGGGTGCGGCGATCTTTACGCGGTTATATACTGTGTTTGAGGCGATCCTAAAGTCGTCTGTTTTATCGATCGAACGCGATTATTTTCCAAAACAAAATAAACAATTAAAGGCAACAGATTAAAAAATCCTTCTCTACGATTAAAGTATAGGCATCATTGTAGTTTCCGGCTGGTAAAGATTATGCTGAGAACGCAAAAACTTTATGAAATTTAGATCTCCGTTACCTTTTCTTAGTCCAACATGGCATCTAGAGCTGTCACATGTGCCAATATTTGCTTCGTACAACAATTTGGCAGTTTGTTGGTACAAAATGATACCAGCCGGAACTACGAATTACATGTGCAAACAATGTTGAGTTCATAAAATTAGGCTTGGATGCCTAATAAAAAAGCTATATGTTCTTGAAAATTTGTTACGATGTGTGCGTGAGATATCGATATGGTAGTAAATATGAACACATCACTACACACTACTACATCAATATCGCACGCATACATACTCACAAAT